TAAAAATACATCATTTCTTCATTGAAATCCGTAATGGGAATTTGACGATTGGTTAAGAAACGTTTCCTGAAAAAAATTAGGATTGGCAAGAAATCTGGGTCATATGTGCTCCAATGAGGAGGTATTGGTTATGTATTTTTTAAAAATTAGATGCTAATGTTTATGTATTTTTTGAAATTTTCTAATATCATAAATCCTTTTCTGAAATTACATGTATTCTTTTAACTGAATTGGAGTGTTATCATCTACACGTGGACCTGGTTCTATCTCATCACGTATTCAATATTTCGTTTGTATATTATCATAGTCAACTAGTAAATGCATTTCTTTCAATCATAATTTCTGTAAAATTTGGATATGTTTTTGGGAGAGTCCAAAGTTTATTTGATTATTTTTGCTTTTAGTTGAGTAAAATTTGGATTCATTTCAAGCTTTTTTTTTTTTGTTTTGTTTAACAGGAGAAAAAATATTTAAAAAATCGCAAACAAGTTTAAAAAATATGCAACATCAGTCCTTAGCCCACTCTCTAGTCCAACTATTACAACGTAAGTTAGGCCATAACATTTATTAGCTCATACCATTCTTTTATACCACAATAAATAAAATATAATTTTTTTTTCATTTATTTAACAAAAATTATTTGGCCGCCACAACTAACTTTTATATATATATATATATATATATATATATATATATATATATATATATATATATATATATATATATATATATATATATATATATGAGAAATTAAATTGATTCCTACTTTTTATGCCTACAAATATGCCTACTCAATAAAATTATGACAAGTGTCATCTTTCCATATTTTTTAAACTAAATGATTAAGACTATATTAGGAATATATCAAATACAATTAAATTGAATGGTGATTTGTTATAATTTTAGTGGGTAGGAATAATTGTAGGAGTAAAAGGTAGGAGGCAATTTAATTTCTCTCTCTCTCTCTCTCTCTCTATATATATATATATATATATATATATATATATATATATATATATATATATATATATATATATATATTTCAAGTCAAAAAATAATTTAAAAACTAGTTTTAAAAAAAGTTATTTAGATCAGTTTTTTAATAGTTTTTTTTTTAATATTTTCCAAATATACCCGTTAATTAATTATCATAACACATTCTTTAAAATACCTTTTTATGTCATTTTATATATTTCAACTAGTTTTATCAAACGTTATTTTTTATCAGTTAGCTATCAGCTAAACTTTTAACAACTAGTGTTTTTTTTAAAGCTTAGAATTAATATGTCAAACATAACCTGAATAAAAGGTTATAAATTATTATTATTTTTTTTTTTCCAAATCCTTTGTCATCGACTCAATGCTTACACGTTTTTTATATCACCATGAGACTTTAAAAATTCGAACCCGTGTGGATTGTGAAAAACTGTTTTCTAAGTAAGAGTCTGGTTAATTCTGCTCAACTTTAACAATATACTTATTATTATTTTTTTAATTATTTTTTTTACTTCAACCCGATCTAAATCAACCCGAACAACAGTTACTTTACCGATTTTTGAAGCAGGCTCAGTGGGCTCCAGATTTTGGGATACTAGCCCAACGTAATTGAGCTGGACACTAGGCAACAGGTCCATATTCCTCCTTTTGGGCCATATTACACCTAGACTTGATCTTGGCATAAGGCTAACTTTTTCATTTTGCATAGAGTAAATTACACGAATGGTCCCTATGGTTTAAGGTAATTTGCACGTTTGGCCCCTAACTTATTTTTTTAACTCGGAAGGTCCCTACTATTTGTTATTGCTATACACTTGATCCTTATTGTTTGTTTTTGTTACGCATTTGGTCCCTATCTTACGTAAAAAGACAATTATTTAAATAAAGAAAAATGGTAGGGTAGGTAAGATAAGGAGAGGGGATGGGATTGAGGGTGTGTTTATTTAAATAAATTAAAAAATAAGATAAAAATAGACTTTTTATGTAAGACAGGGACCAAGCGTGTAACAAAAACAAACAGTAGGGACCTTCCGAGTTAGAAAAATAAGTTAGGGATCAAACGCGCAAGTTACCCTAAACCATAGGGACCATTCATGTAATTTACCCTTTTGCATATTATATCTTTCTTTTTCCTTTCATTCTTTTGGGTTCCACCTTCTCGAAAAAACACTTCTTGGTTCTCTTCCCCATCACAGGCTCACAGCTATCGTCAATTTCCTCACCCTCATTTGACCCCTCATCACCTACTTCCTACTTCATCTTCCTTAATAGAAGGATATAATTTGTCCCTTCAACTACAGCAATAATGCTATCAAATATTATTCCAATAATCACAAATTCGTGATTCGAACTTATATACTTCCAACTTGGAGTGACAAACTAGAAGAGATCAGATCTTATATATATATATATATATATATATTATATATATATTATATATATATATATATATATATATATATATATATATATATATATATATATATATACTAGCCGTTACCCGCGCACAGCAGCGGGGATAAATAGCTTCTTTCAACGATATTTTTTTTAAAGAAAAATGTTATGTTCCAAAAGAAAATTCATGTCGTGGGTGAGAGGAAGGGCGGTAGTCATGATAGTTGTTAGTTGAAGGCGGAAGGAGGCAGAGCGGCTGTGGTGGTAGTGGTTATACTGTCTTGGTTACTGGTTAGGGTTCTTCCAGAGAGTGTGCGTATATTTTTTACTTTGAAGGGATTACGAAGATAGATATTATGAGATGGCTTGTTACCAATGTGAGAGAAGAGATCCTCTATAAATTGTTGACATTGACCGCTTTAAATGGCTGAAGTGTTGAGATTGGCGGGTTCAATTTACAAATGAATTCTTATATTAATTTGATACCAGATTTTTAGGGGATAAAAGATAGGGTTAAAGTTTTAATATTATTATATTATAAATGGGTTGTACTTCAAGCTTAATAGTTTGGACGTCTTAAAAAAATAATATTATTATATTCAATCTATTTATAGAAATAGTTAGATTTCTTTTATAAGTAGTAAAGATAAATATATATATATATATATATATATATATATATATATATATATATATATATATATATTATATATATATATATATATATATATATATATATATATATATATATACATTAAAATTCTTCTACCTTAGCTACATTAACTTTGCTAAGGATTTGACAAAAATAATCATTCCTCTATATATATCTTTAATTGTATCTCATTTTAATTTTACTAAGGATTTGACAAAAATGGTATTTCTTTTATATATACATGCTTTTTGTCAATCTTGTCCTTATTCTTTAGTTATTTTAACACTTTTTGTCATTCCAATAAAAAAATTTATATTTTTTAGAAACCTTTTAACAATTTTAACATTCAAAGTTTGGCCACAAAAATTTAAGGAATTGACAATTTTGGCCGATTTTCTAAAAGCTTTCCAATTTCAACCCTTTAATTTTTTAGTCATTTTGATATTTTTGGTCCTTACAGTCTAAACTTTTATATTTTTTCATAAAAAACACAAAAAACGGACCGGGGCAAAGTCCGGGTTTGTACTCATATTTAACGTTTATTGTTTTTTCCTGTCCGTTGCACTTTCTGCCGGCTCTCATTTTCTTCTTTTGGTATATTTTTTATATATTGGTCCGCATATTTATTTTTTTGTTTTTTTCCTGCTTCTATCTATTCGTCTTCATCTGTGAAAGTTAGGGGTCGAATTATCCTACCTGCATCTTTTAACAAAAACAACATTCAAATCAGACGCACACGGTCCATGCGGAGCATGGGCAACATATCTAATTATTATTATTATTATTATTATTATTATTATTATTATTATTATTATTATTAATTATTATTATTATTATTATTCGTTTGTAATAATATTAGGGGTAATAAATCGGACGATCGTGTTATGTTTTTGTTAGACACGATAAGTGTGTGTGTGTGTTTTTTGTTTTTGTTTTTAACACGAGATGAAATGATGTGTTTTTTTTAACTAATAAGAATACGAACAAATCAAAAAACGACAAACACAATAGGACACAATAAAAAAATAGCAATTAGTTTATCCTCTTTAATAAATGAAAATAATTCGTGTAATTTTATCGTTTGTGCTATCAATTGTCACCTTAAATAATATAAGTAAAGGAAAGATAGTATTAATTTTAACACCAATGATTAACATAATTGTAAAAAAAAATATATACCAGTAATGTTTTATAATTTTTTACAATAAGATTTAAAAAAGAAAACAAAAAAATCCATACGATTTATTATCAGGAGGCAAATAGCTTGTTTTAATCATACATCAAATGAAATAGAGAATAATAATTACAAATTCCAAATAATTAATCAATGTAAATAAACCAAACTAAAACAAATAATATCATTAGAAATTATAAAATTGTTTCAAAACCATTGGAAATTGTTTGCATTGTATTGCTCTTGCTCACATGTGTCCATTTATATTTTATAATAGGGTGAACATATTATTTTTATAATAGATGTACATCTATATTTTACAATGTAACAGTATCCAAAATAAACGGTGTCTAAAGGTGAATACAGCATCGTATCAATTTTTTCTTTTCATTACGGTACCAAATACAATGTATAATTTTTTTTATTATGTGTATCATATCAAATGTATTTGTGCCAACTTGTTTGCTATCAATAAGTTTTGTTGATACAAATTAACAAGGATATATTAAGTTTTTTTTTTAATTTTCAACTGTAACAATTAAACACTAGTAAAAGAAAGGAAAAATGTCTTAAAAATGTAACAATGTTTCAAAAACGTACAAAAAACAAAATTATTCTTTTTTTAGTGAAAACAATATCATTTTACCGGGTATTATAGGTTAGCCGGTTAAAAAATTTATGAAAATATATGTGGCCTTCCTGTTCGTTATTTCCCCCAAAATCTAGGGTTCATTTCCTTCTCCTTCTCATTCGTTCGTTCATCCTTTCCACATAATCACTACAATGGATTCCAACTTGACAATCGAAGTCAATCACACAGGTTCTTTTGTCGACAAACCGATTGTATATTTCAATCCAGTAAAAGTGGTTGTTAGCAATGTCGATTTCAGAAGCATGAGTTTCATGGAATTTATCTCGTATGTGAAGAAGTTGGTCAAGAATGGAAGAATCAATGTCTACTATTGTCTTCCACAACGGTCACTGGGAGATGGGTTGAGAGCCTTAGAAGATGAAAATGATTACCTACGTTTTCTTGATGTTGGATATGAGAATGGGGGAATGATCAATTTGTATATTGATCACAGTTAGGAGTGAGTTATGGTGTGGATTGAAGAAGAGATAGTTGAAGATGGATTGATAGATGATAATACAGATGATGATGATGATGTAGACCCTAAGCTTTCAGATAATGAGTTTGTGGAGCATGAACCTGATGATGAAGTGATACAAATACAACCATTTGATGATCCTTTCGTTTGAAGAAAATTTTCCAGGCCTCCAAGAGTTGTATATGATAAGAAAGATGTCAAGAAAGATCTTCATAAGTATCCATTTCATGATCTTAACCAAAATGGGATACAATGGTAGCAATCTTAGGTAGAAAATTTATGATCGTTATGAACTAAGCATTTGTTAAGCAATTATGCCATTGCTAATGGGTATAAACTGTGGTATGAAAAAAATGATTCAACTAGATTATTAGTTAGATGTTGCAAAGGTGAAGAGAAGTCTAAATGCCCTTTTAGGTTGTGGTAAACTTGGATGAGTAAAGAAAGATCATTTCAAATTAAGTCCTTAATCTCTGAACACAACTGTTGTAGTGCCTTCAATTTAGGTGCAATGGTCACATATAGTTGGATTAGAAAAAACATAATGGAAACCATAATAGATAATCCAAGAATAAGGTATAAGAAAAGGGCAACAATCCTTAAATATTTTAATCTAAAAGTTAGTGTTGGTTAGTGTGGAAATGCCAAAAAAAATTATAATGGATGAGATAGAAGGGAGTTTGGTGACACACTATGAAAAGCTTAGGAGTTATGGTTTGGAGCTATTGAGGGTTAATCTAGGTTCCATAGTGAAATTGGATGTGGATATCATGCCTGAATCTATAGTCTATTTTTCAAAGATGTATATTTGCTTGAAGGTTGTGAAGGATGGTTGGATTGAGGGGTGTAGAAGAGTGATTGATGTAGATGGATGTTATTTAAAGGGACTTTGTAGAGGTGAAGTACTTTCAACTGTTGGTAGGGGTGCTAATAGCCAAATGTATCCTCTAGCATGGGCTGTTGTTGCAGTTGAAAATACGGTAACTTGGAAATGGTTTTTGGATCTATTGCTTGAAGAGATTGATATGGGACTTGGCAGAGGACTAACCATCATCTCTGACTAACACAGGGTAGTCAACTATTTTTAATAGTACTATTTATATTTTATTTTTAATTTATTGACATTCAAATGTTACTTAACAGGGACTGATTGAGGTAGTTCAGAGTACCAGAATGCGAGCATAGACAATATTCTAGGCATGTCTATGCCAACTTCAAGAGAAAATTCTCAGGAGCTGAATATAGGAAATTTTCTGGGGTGTTGCCAAGGCCACAACCACAACAAAATTCAAAGGTATCATGAAGGAGATTAGATTAATTGATGTAAATGCCTACGAATACCGGATGGAAAAAAACCAAACACGTGGTCTAGGGCATTTTTTTTAGGGAAGATAGTGAAGGGTTTTGAGCATTCTAACACTCCTATGGTGTACATGCAACCCTAGAAACCTTGGATCTATGTTTTCTCTATTATACATGCAAATTTGGTTTTCCAAGGTTCTCAACCTAACAAGCATGTTATGGGGTACATGTAATATAAAACCTTGGTAGAATAACATACCTTATTCCTTGTGATTGATTGCTTGAAGTTGTGAGAGCCTAGCACCAATAATGTGGATGCCTCAAGTGGAATCACAAATCAGCAAACCAACTTGGAAACTTGAGAGAATAGTATGCACTTAGTAGAAATTGGCCACCCTTATGTTCTCACACACACTAGTGCCATTTCATGTGCCAAAGATCTTTTTATTTACTATGGAGGAATAGGGTTACATCCATCCCTAATACTCATGACCTTTCATTTCCATAGGATCCAGGGGTTAAAAACTCCATGGACTATCCATGCAAGCGTAGCCCATCCTAAATGAACTTGGCCCATTCTCTCTCTCTCTCTCTCTCTCTATATATATATATATATATATATATATATATATATATATATATATATATATATATATATATATATATATATAAGAGTCCATATTTAATTAGTTCCTTTTGATAACTAAATTAATTCTTGATAATACTAATTAAATAATATGATTTCATATTAATATATTATAACTAATAATATATTAATAAATAATAAATATACTATTCTCAAAAGATTATCCATATAAATTGTTTTGGTGAAGTGGAACCCAAATGGACCATACTGGGTTGGGTCAAGTACATGCCAAATATAGTTACGGACTTAGACACCTTGTCCAACAGTCTCCCACTTGGATAAGTTTGATAACTATAATTGCAAGTATGACTTCAGGAACCGACCAGCAATCGTAGCTCTCAAAACTCTGTTGAACTATGAAATGCAATTTTAGATAAGTGACTATATAATCCTTTGTTCTAGATATTAGCCGGACAAATACATGGAACAAATTCGTACTTATTGTCCAACAGTTTGTTTCCCGATTTCCGATTTGTTTGACATAGAACTAAACCGCACACATCAATTTGGTTCTGACCGGGCCTGGCACATAGGTCAAAACAAAATTATCAAGGGGCCCGAATATTGATTTTAATCCTCCAAGGACTAAAAGGAACAGATAAACTTAGACCCATATGCATGTTCTACTACTTGTTGAATCATACACAAAGGCACGTTTTATAACATCAAGTTATTGATGGGTTTTCGTACAATCAATGCACAACCAACTCATAGGCAACAACTCATATCTCTAGGTTTGAAGACTTATGTGATATTACCATCTCACGATCACTCGAGATAAATTTCATGAAGTGATACAAGTGAGCGTAGGTTTAATCTAATACTCAGAACTTATGAGCACCCATGAATGTTGTAGGAACTTTTTCCAAGTCTAACACATTAGACATATACAAGTCCAATTCATGATAGTTTTGATTCATACCTACTTCCAACATATGACTGACTGTGGAGAGTTTGAATAAAGTAATTATTCTGGAAGTCAAAACATGCAAAACTGAAACAATAGTAAACAATTGACACAAGATAGCAACACCTTACTTATAAATAAACAACAAGTTTTATTTAATCATCAAATATTAATTACATTTTACAAGTTTTAGAGCTATCTAATCTGTAAAACTAATATCGTCCTTCAGCCCGATGCGCCTCGCATGCTGCAAATGCCTAATCCTAGTTAGTCCGTTCGTGAGGGGATTTGCTGGGTTCTTTTCTGATGATATCCTCTTTTCCACGAGGAGTTCTTCTTCTATCCTATGTCTTATGAAGTGATATTTTCTGTCAATGTGTCTGGATTTGTTGTGATCTCTCAGTTCCTTGGCTAAGGCAACCGCACTATTGCTGTCATAAAAATTCTCCATAGGCTCTTTTATGGCTGGTACAACTCCAACGTCTCCGCTGAAGTTCCTCAGCCATATCGCCTCCTTCTTCGCTTCACTCGCTGCTATGTACTCTGATTCACATTTCGAATCAACTACTGTCTCTTGTTTGGAACTTTTCCATGTAATCGCTCCTCCATTCATGGTAAAGAAGCAGCCCGACTGAGAGCAGAAGTTATCCCTACTAGTCCAAAAGCTGGCATCATTATACCCCACTACTCTCAAGTCATCACTCCCACCAAGGGTAAGAATCAAATCTTTAGTCCTTCGCATGTACTTGATAATATTCTTTCCTGCAGTCCAGTGAGCCTTGTAAGGTTTCCCCTGATATATGCTGACCATGCTCAAAGCAAAGGCCACATCAGAGCGAGTATAAGTCATAGCATACATGATCGAGCCAATAACGAAAGCATATGGTAATCGACTCATCTCAGCTATCTCAGCCTCTGTACTTGGGCTCTGAGCTTTGCTCCGTTTGGCATTATCCTGAATCGGTAAGTCACCTTTCTTGGAATTCTACATGTTGAACCTTTTCTACACTTTGTCCACATAGGTGCTTTGACTAAGTCCAATTAGTCTTTTACTCCTTTCTCAATATCATTATCCCTAGGATATAGGCAGCTTCTCCAAGGTCCTTCATAACAAAACACTTCCTAAGACAAGACTTAACCTCCTGTAAAGTTGGGATGTCATTTCCCATGAGTAGTATGTCATCCACATACAGTACCAAAAAGATAACTATACTCCCACTAGCTCTAACATATACACATGACTCATCTTCGCTTCTCGAAAATCCAAACTATTTGACTTTCTCATCAAAACAAATGTTCCAGCTGCGAGATGCTTGTTTCAATCAATAAATGGATTTCTCGAGCTTGTACACTCTATCAGGATATTCTGCACTGACAAAACCTTCTAGCTGACTCATGTAAACATCCTCAGCCAACTTTCCGTTAAGGAAAGATGTTTTGACATTCATTTGCCATATTTCTTAATCATGAAATGCATCAATGGCTAGCATAACGATAATAGACTTAATCTTTGCTATTGGTAAGAAGGTTTCATCATAATCAACTCCCTGAGTTTGAGTGAAACCCTTCGCAACTAGTCGCACCTTATAAGTGTGCACTTTCCCATCCATGTCGTTCTTCTTCTTGAAGATCCACTTGCTCCTGATCATCTTACGACTCGATACATTGTCAACCAAGTTCCAAACTTAATTGTCATATATGGACTGAATCTCGTTGTCCATAGCCTCTTTCCATTTAGCAGACTCAGGGCCTACCATGGCTTCCCTATAGTTGTTAGGTTCATTCAAATTTACCAGTGTACTATTACTAATAAATGTATCACCTTCCGTAGTAATATGGATACCATAGTAATGCTCCAGTTGATTCCTAACTCTAGTGGAATGCATCAAAGGTACAGTCGCGTCAGTTGGTTTAACAGAAGTTTCCTCCTTAGGTTGATTGCTATGATTTGAGGTTCCTTCACCACTTGCTTCTTGCAGCTCTTTAATGTCAATTTGCCTCCTAATGTTTCCTTGTTTTATAAATTCTCTCTCGCGAAAGACCCCTCTCCTTGCCACAAAGACCACATTCTCACTGGGTATGTAGAAGAGGTAACCAAAAGAGTTCAGTGGGTAGCTGATGAAAATACATCGCCCACTACGAGGTTAGAGTTTGTCCTGAGTCTCATGTCTCATGAAAGCCTTGCAACCCCAAATCTTGATGTGGTCTAAATTGGGAACTTTCCCAGTCCACATCTCATGAGGTTGTTTTGGAAACCTTCTTGGTAGGGACTATATTGAGGATATGGGCGACAGTC